CCTTTATTATTTTTTATGCGGCCCGCAAATATGCGAGGTTCATTAAAAAGAGCACGCTGGACCATAAATAAACGCAGGAATGTCATATAGAGGGTGCGCGCAAAATTGGCGAAATTATACAATCTGCATAAATTTTGAACGCACGTAGAGAAAATAAAAAAAAACATATTGTAATACTACATGCATCTACGCAAACCCCGTATTACGTATAATAGATAAATTACACTATCAGCCACTACTTATACAGACATATTACTCACATGTATACATACATATAAAATAAATAATAACACACGCGTGAGTTTCTAACAAACAGTGTGTTATAACTTCATACGGGAAATGTCATTGATCGTCATTTCCAATACGGTATGTAAGACAACACACTAGTACCGTGCTAGTACCATGGTATAAAGAATACAAGGTATGATATTGCGCAGGTTGGTCGCTACGTCACAGGTGATAACAGGCGCTATTGGTCAGCACGCTCCGCGCGGCTGTTCAAATCGTCAAGATATTGTCATAAACCTGTTTTTTTGTTTATATACCGTCATTGAATTATCGCTAAGCAAGTTAGTTGTGGAGCAGTGCGTAAAGAGTCAGGCTAGGAAGCGAGAGACCAGAGTTCGCATCTCGACCGGGACATAACTTTTTTATTTAATTTTTTACATACTGTTGTATTCTATAATTTATTTTTGTAGTAAAAGAACTATTTATTCTGTTATTTTTTAATCTCCGGTATTAATATAAATTGATTGTTGGTAGAATACCTCATTTAATATAAAATAATATTCTACTTTTTGAAATGTATCGGGCCCTAATTGTACCTAAAGGTAATATATTTTTACAGTGATATACCATATTGTAAACTATTTAATATTTCAGTCACTTAAAAAGTTAATTTGCATTGAATAATTGCCTACCATTAAAGGAAATTTGAGCTATACTCCTTGATGGGCATATTCTGGGTATGCAAATACTTCCTCTAAATTTTGGGTTTCGAGGTTCAACCGATTTATTCTCAAAACCTGAAACATCTACATATAAAAAGAAGCACAGATCATTAATTATAATAAACTTTACCCTTGGAATTCCTTCCACTAATTATAATAAACTTCACCCTTGGAATTACTTCTATCATAATTACAATACATTCATCTGCATTGGCATTTTCTACATTTCGATGGGAAACAATCAACTTCCCAACATTTTTTAAATGATGTAACAATTCCTCTTGTGGTTACTTTTCCATAGATATCCTCATCTCTGTCCTCATGTGAATTCAGAGACAATTGACATAAAAATTATTTACCTTAAACATCGCAAACTAAAAACCTAATAAACAATTTTATACCGAATATAGAAATAAATTTAGTATTCTTACCTATCATCGTCCAAATCCATGTTAATAGATAATTAATATTTTGGATTTTTGTCTTTTATTTTTAAATATATTTTTGGAACTGCTGGTTTTAGTAATTATTAAATTAAATGAACTAAAAAGTCTTGAAAATAAACAATTCTTAACCATAACCCCAAAAATACAAAAAATGCAGATCTCCTGTCAACTTTCTTTATTTTTTATTTATTCCTTATTTTCCTAGTGACGTCACAGGTGGTATGCGCAAACTGAACGAAATTGGAGCCGCTATCGATCATACCTTGTTTTCTTTGTACCATGCACTAGTACCATAAATAACTATTCAAAGTCCTTTCAGTTTTTCTTTTTGTTTCACCAACCCATCTCAATTAGTTCTCCTCAATCCCGCTTTTGTCATGTCGAAATTGTCGACATAATAACCACTCTCGAAAGGTTCTCATCCCCCTTCACCCCCCTGTACAACACCCTCTCCATCAATTAACTCAATTAAACGGTCCCTTTCTCCAAACTATTCCAACTTTGTGTCTCCCTGTGCCATAGGACGTGTGTGTGAGAGTTTCTCCCTTTGCCCAGAACTATTTCAGTTGATATTTCGAACACAGCGAAATTATAAAGACGTTCAGCTTGGAGAAAGGGCCCAAAACCGTCCCTACCACCGAAATCCACTCTATTTCTTCTTGGTCTCCTTGTTTTTGGTCGTTTAAGGGGTATGATTGAGCGCCATTTTGCTTTGAAACTGTTCGTGGAGCTTTTGGGGAAAGGGACTTGTGTTTAGTGTGGATAGAGACAAAGAGTTTGAATACTGCAGTATTGCGGGAAATGCAGTAATGGACTGTTTTAAAATGGGTTGAGAATTTTCTATTTCGTGGAGCAGGATTAAATTCTATAAACTTAATAGTGAAACTTCTTACTAAAAGCTATTAAATTGATGGATTTGAAGGATATATATTTTTTATGAACTCTTTTTATAAACTTCAAAAAAAAATAGAGTTAATATAAAACCGTATACTATTCTAGCTTTACAATTTTATGTTTTTTTAATTTTTATCTTTTTATTTTTTTTTTTAATTTATTTATTTAAGTATCATCTTAAAATAAAATTTGAATCAATCACAATTGTTTAACTCCATCATTTACCGGATTAATAATACAGAAATTACAGTTCAATTACAAACAATTCATCATTTATAGTGATTTACAGTAATTTTATTAAATTATACGAATATTCTCGTTGATTATTGGCTTGAAATAAATATGATAGTGTCCTCCAATGAAAATGCGAGTTACTAACTCAAAATTCTAATTCTGAGCTGGCAAAAGAGCTAGGTGCTGGACCTAGACCGTTCTTCAGAAGCTACAAACCTATATCGATGAAAATATGCATGAAATCAAGATTGGTACAGTTTCAAGTTTAGTATAGAGATTTTCTTAGCCGCGTATGGAACAGATCGTTACCCAGTGTTGCCACAAGCTTATTTTTTATCGGGGTAGATTATCACGAAATAACGGAATTGAATTTTTACTCTCAACGGGCGTAAAAAAGTTTCAGTTCAAAAATATTAAAAATCGGGCATTTTCTTTGAACCTTAATTAATTATTTTAATTTAGATATTTTTATAATTAACGGCAAGATTACACATTAAAATAAGAAAACGTCTGCATTTTTTTAACCGCCTCCGTCAAATTAATTCCTGCCTTTTAATAAAACCAAAACGAAAAAAGTCCAGAACATAAACAAAGCTTCTACCCACAGGTTAAGACTTACCGGCCCTTTCTCTAATCCTATTGGGCGTATATTTTCCTCATAGTCTAGACAGAGCATTATACGGAATACGCAAATAAGAGGCGCTATTTAGATTCCCAGCAAAATCCCGACAAAGTGGCGGGTTTTTTTTCATATTTCTGGTCATTATAATTCGTTATTATAGAACTGATAGTGCTTTGGGAGAAAACAAAAATATTGTTATAACAAAGCTAACTTTGTTTTTGATGTATTTTAAGAGTCTATTACGCTGTACTTTCCAGTCGCTCTCAGGGGCTGGCTAAAGCGGGTGTGTGGCCGAAGGAAATATACATTACTATCGTGTACCAGCGACTTTGTTCGCGTCGAATTAATCATTTGTAATGGTGATGATAAAGCAAAGCAAGAATTTCCATTAACATACAAACTGGATAAATTTTTCTCATATTTATGTCAGTATGAGAAAAAACAATACGGCGATATTATTATATAACTTGGTAATATTTGAGGAGTAGTTTTATCTTGTTGGAATTTGACTTTCGAAAAATCCGTTTGCCAAAAATAAGCTTTTTACGTCATGCAGTTTAAGCAGAATCGTGGTTAAGAAATTACCCAACTTTTTGGAACACCCTGTATGATTTTTTAAAAAATTTCAAAATATGTAAAAAAACCAAATAAATTATGCTTGTCCGAGGGTTTTCCCGAAAGACTAACCGTTTTTTAAATAACGATTCTTAATAATAATTGTGATATTAATAATTATTGTAAAAATAATTGTGATATTTGAGGGGCGTTTTCACCCTCTCTTGGAATTTGAGATTCGAGAAACCCCTCCTTATCGAACCTCTACACCCCACAGTCAATCCGTTTGCCAAAAATCAGCTTTAAACGTCAAGCAGTTTAAGCAGAATCGTGATTACTCAATGGTCAAATTTTATGAAACACCCTGTATAAATTTATAAAAAATCTTAAAATATGTAAAATACCAAAATAAAATATACGTGTTTAAGAGTTTTTTCGAATAACTCACCGGTTTTTAAATAAAAAATATTTTAATATTTGAGGGATAGTTTCACCCCCTTAGAATTCGAGTTTCGAAAAATCCCTTCTTATCGAACCTCTACACACTAAAGTCAATCTGTTTTCCAAAAATCAGATTTTTACGTCAAGCGCTTTAAGCAGGATCGTGATTAATCAATGACCAGATTTTTCGAAACACACTGTATACATTTTTAAAAAATCTTAAAATATGTAAAAAACAAAATAAAATATACGCGTTTAAGCGTTTTTTCGAAAACTTGACTGTTTTTTAAATAAAAAATATTCTAATATTTGAGGGGTGGTTTCACCCTTTTGGAACTGGAATTTCGAAAAATCCCTTCTTATAGAACCTCTACGCCCTAGAATCAACCTGTATGCCAAAATTGAGCTTCTTACGTTGAGTGGTTTGAGCAGGATTTTATATATTAGTATAGATATAGATATTTCAGAAATCTGCATAAGGTTTAGACCGATCTTGTGGTGTTAAGCCACACCGAATTGATTAAGGTTTGCAGAGCTTCAGCATTTGTCATAAAATAGAGAGCAATTTGTTACAAAATCTTATAAATTATATATCACTGTAATCACGAAACTTCAATCTATTTCCGTATTGTAACACAATTTCAAATTATGACTTCATTTTCGAGAAAATTTAGACCAAACATAAGGAATATTTTGTTGATGTTTGACCATCAAAACCTCAAAAAATAAAGAAGTTGTCTAAAAATATGCTACAATACGGATATAGTATAATCTCTATTTAATATAATAAGTTTCAGTAAAGCTATTGGCAAATTATTTTTGGTACAATTAGGTATTATAACTCAAAAATCGACTTACATGAATCTGTATCCTGCGCATGCGCCGGTGGCATGGACAAGTGGATCCCCTTCAGGTACTCCTCCCTCTCATTCCCAATCCTAACTTCTTCGGAAGCGTTCTTCGTTTCCTTCTTCTCCGACCCCACGAAGGCGGCCGAAGTCACTCGCAAAACACTAGTACTAGAATCACTATTTCCCGTCAAAGTACTCGATGCTAGTTTACCCGAACGCACTACGCTAGTATCACTTTGCCTAAAAACTAATCTGGAAGAGGATGTAGCCGTACTAACGGTGGAATTGGTTTGATGTCGACCGGCGATCGACACAAATCTGGAGGAAGATGACGATAGTGACGTACTACGGGAGGAAAATGACGTAAATGGCAGGCCCAGAGCCGGACCTACCGCGACAGTAAGTACCACGACGCACAGCAACGATATGGCGGCCAGTTGGTCAGCCGGGCGGGATGTGCTGGTCGTTACCGTGCGACCAACAAACCCGCATACACGATAGAAGATCACTCAGATTCGTACGAAGAAGGAGGATAACTCACGAAAGGTCGTAGGAACTCTTTGTTCGATTTATAGAGGATTTTATCTGGGGGAATTTGCGCAGTGTTGGTGGCTGAAGTTCGATGCGCAGGCGTTTGGAGAAACAACGACTTGTTGATGACATGTTTTGATAGTTCTGGAGTGGTACGGTGATGGTAACGGTGCCATATTAAGGATGCTCATTCACTTGGGGTGGTTTGGAGTGATGCTCTCAGCGGTAAACCTGAAAAAAATAATGATGTCGTTAAAATACAGAATATATTAAAGTTATAGAAGAGATAATTGAGGGGTTCAGAAGTGAACTGGATCAAGGCCTGGAAGGTAAGTATCTAAATATGTGAGGGAGGCTACACCATCATTAGTAATGGTTGAATAAGTTGAACATGATGATGATGATGTTCAATCAATGAGAACGATGTCATCTGCATTACATTCGTTTGAAGCAACAATCAAAGACAGTCAAATAATTGAATATCGCTAACATATTATCAACGATCTAAGAACTTTCGATACGAATAACCGCACAGCTAACCACCCTGTATAATGCGTCGTGGCCACCCTGTACATACGTACACGTCCGTGCCCCGTTGTTTGGCGCATCGACCACCACAAGTGCCATCTTTTTGGGCGGCTCAAAATAACCTTTATATTTTGTACTTAATCTCGGCATAATAAGTTGCGGGGTTGTCAGTTCTTCGCTACATAGTTTCTAATTATTACCCGGCAAAATAAAATTAGGCGGCGAGTGGCGAGCGCTCGTGTTGGCGCGTTTTGTTTTCGCCGAGCGTCGCTCATAGAGCTTATAAAACGTAGATCGACGATATCGTTTTACAGATTTAAATTATATAGGAGGGAGAAAATTAATTACCGCAGAGATTGTTCTTACTTAAATCGAGATCATCTCAGTAGAATGAAGCTAAGAAACAACGGCAAATGCAGATTCTGTGGGGAAAATGGGGAAACGCCAGACCACCTCATCACTGAGTGCGCCGCGCACACGGCAAAATGCTATGTTTAGCTTGACAAAAATCCAGATTATTTATTTTTTTTCGTATGTTTATCCCCACTTTGTTTTTCTTATTACATTTTTAAGGCTAATTATAAATTTATAAATTTTTCCATTCAATTAGAGTAGTGCAAGCGTTACCGAAAATTGATGCAGTTCGCACCTTTCGTGGAGCGCAAAAGAGTGTCTCCCTGCAAATATTGCTGATTTTTTTATACCTGTATCAACATACATTAGTGATTTTAATTTTAATAAATTTAAAGCGGAACTACGTGAAACTCATTACTATAACTCATTATAAAAACAAAATTATAAAAAAACTAGCGTGTACCCGCGACTTCGTTCGCGTCGAATTAATCATTTGTAATGATGATGATAAAGCAAAGCAAGAATTTCCATTAACATACAAACTGGATAAACTTTTCTCACATTTATGTCAGCATGAGAAAAAACAATCGAGAAACCCCTCCTTATCGAACCTCCACACCCCACAGTCAATCCGATTGCAAAAAATCAGCTTTAAACATCAAGCAGTGTAAGCAGAATCGTAACAGAATAAAATAAACGTGTTTAAGAGTTTTTCCGAAAAACTCACCGTTTTTAAGAAGCGCTTTAAGCAGGATCGTCATTAATCAATGACCAGATTTTTCGAAACACCCTGTATACATTTTTAAAAAATCTTAAAATATGTAAAAAAACAAAATAAAATATACCTGTTTAAGCGTTTTTTCGGAAACTTGACCGTTTTTTAAATAAAAAATATTGTAATATTTTATGGATGGTTTCACCCCCTTCGAACTGGAATTTCGAAAAATCCCTTCTTATCGAACCTCTACACCCTAGAATCAACCTGTATGCCAAAATTGAGCTTCTTACGTTGAGTGGTTTGAGCAGGATCGTGATTAATCAGTGAGCCAGTCAATTAAGGATTTTATATTATAGTGTGACCAACGGATCTGTAGCTACGGGGTATCGGCAGGGGAACGCAGTTGTAAACAAGACACGCCCAATTTCATTCATAAAATAGGCATGGGCGTACGGTTTTTATGAAAATAATGTGTATCATAAATATAAATTCTGATTAATAATTTTTTTTCAAAAAACTTTATTCTGTTTGAATCGTTACTGTTGAGTTAGCAGATAAACACACTAAAAGCTTTTATTAAAGCTCCCTTAAATATTTTGAATAATTTTATTATTATGTGTTGTTAATATAATAGAAGAAATAATTACAGCTGGGGGTTGGAACCTTTGGTGTTACACAGCAAAATAAAACACTAAATCAGCACAATACACCAAAACACTTTTACTTTTACATTGGGCGCACGTTTCGCTAACCATGTTAACATCATCAGCAGATGATCAAGACTGAGTCTTGAGGTATATTTATTTATATATCTGTACTAACTATATTTTTTTCTACAATACATAATTTTAGATATATCTATTTCCAGCAAAAAAAAATCTTGAAAATAGTTAACTTTGGAAGCGCAAACAAAACATAATTTTACTCACCAGTAGATCCAATGTTGCCTATTACACCAGATATGGTATCGCTCCGCCAGCACTTTTTAAAGGTTACGTCATTGTCTACCCATGTTTCATCCAAATAGATAATACTTGGCGTATTTTCGAATTTTGCGTATATATTTATATCTCTCTATGCAATATAATGGGCCGCTCCATTAATATTTATCTGTTATTTTAACATTTACGCCAAAAAAATCCATTTGATTTTAATAACCCCCTAAGCGTTTCCCTGCCAAAGGAAAATTCGATTCTTCCTGCAATTTTTGCAAAAGCTTTCTAATTGTGGGGACGACTTTGAATTCGAGATAAAATCTATTTATCAAATTCCTGACCACTTGGAAATCAAAGTCGTCGAGCTCACGTAGCCGTTTCTTTCCAGAGCTGGATATCATTTTATCGGGGTTAGTTTCCAGTTTTTTTTATCTTCTGTGTGAATTTTTTTATAGCCGATACGCTAACTCCGGCATAAAGAGATATCCGCTCAAGTTTACGTTTAAGCGGCAACTTAAGCGAACTCTCTGTAGCTTCTTCGTCGCAAACCCTGTTATGAACACAAGGAAATAAACCAAATGAGATTTCATCCACGTTTATTTACATTTATTTTAGCTTAGCTAAAATATTTAGGTAAAATGGGTGCTTTTCATTTTAGCCAATATTTAATTTTAGTATTCTTATAATTACATTATTATTATTCTACTTACCTATATAAATTAGCTATTATTTCTCTTGTCCTGGCTATGTAGCGTCTTACCCTTAACAAATTTATTCATTTTAAAACACAAATATACGATCAAACTTAATATTAATAATTAAAAACTACGAACGAAAAACTTAACACGATAACAAAACAATAAAAAGACATTTTAACTATTGAATATACGAAAAATATAGGAATAAAGTTTAGGATAACCGGTATTAAATAATGAAAGAAAGTAATAATGATCAAAAGAATGACACCGCCACTGGATATTTCAATAGTATTCAATATTTCTACTCTTTTCAGAAGTGACCGTGAAGTTGGGGATAAGGCTAGCGAATAGGAAAGGCGTAAAAGCCATGGCAACCGCGTGGTAACAAATCCTGTGACGTACTCTCGCCAATCATGTTCGATGAATAGGCGGCCATGCGCGGCGATGCCGGTTTGCCAATGATATCGTTGAAATACCTTCACCTTTCGTAATAAGCAGATTATACAGAACGAAAGAAATAAGTTATTAAATAAAACATATCCAACGATATGAACTACGTTAAAATTCCTTAGTAATATAGGTCAGAATATATGCTAAACACATTATATATAATAAAAATATATTAAATTTATAGTTCATGTCTGGAAATTTTGCAATTTTATAGATAAACGTGGCAACATCGATTTTTTTTTCTCGCATTCCTTCCGTAGCTTCAGATCCGCTGGTCAAACAGTAGTATAGATAAACCCAAAATGGAATGACACAGTTTGACGACTGCCGGATAAAAGTTTGAGAACCGCCGATATTCGTCCGGAAAAACAAACGGTGACTCCGCGTGGAATGGGATGAGTGTATTGGCGCGCGCTCTTCGTAAATATAGAGCGAAAAAAAGGCGGGAAAAAAGGAGCAGCAAAAGCCATCGGCGGCGCGAAGAAGACGCGGTCTGGCTTTTGTCACGATTCGAGGAGGCGAGTCGGCCGACTCAAGAAGCGACGAAGCCGATGCTCGCAACATTTATAAATAAACAGATTACCGCATAGTTTTGACCGGCCATGAGGCAGCCGGCCGGCGCGAAAATTCACCAAAACATCGACTTTGCGCGGGGAGGGGGCTATTGTCATTGTTGGGCGTAGGCATTTATTAATAAATCCAAAACAAACATTTACTATTCATATCATTCTAGCTGAGAAAAAAAATAGAAATGTGGAATGTACGGGAGGGAGGTTAATCAACGCGAGTCTACAGATCTACTAGCAGGGCCTTTCTTCAGTTATAAATAAATAAATAAATAAATGCCTTTATTGTCAAAAAATTTTACAATTCGTAGACAAAGGTAAAGTAAACAAACAAACAAACAAAAGAGAATACAAAACATTATACAAATAACATTGTCAGTCTTATTGTTTAAAATAAACATTTATAAATGTTTACAATGTTAAAGAATAAAGAAATAAAAATAATATTCAAAAATATTTAGTTAGTTTATAGTAAATATCAATGACCTCTAGATAAATTTATTTCGATGTCATTGGTAAATATCGTCAAAATATCGTAATAGCAAACATTAGACCAGTGTTTATAAGATCAAATTCGTTTATCAAAATATAAGTCATTTACGGCGTAGAAATTCTTGTCTAGTAAATAAGATTTCAATGCTTTGCGAAATGAAGAAAATGATGTTATGGATTTGATTTCAAATGGCAGGTGAGTTGTATAATATTGAACTTTTAACTCTGAGCGTATCCCCTGAATATCCGACAATATGCCTATCAGCAGGGAAAATCAACAGAACTGGCCCTCAACAATTTGGTGGGGGAAATTAAGAACACCTTTGATCGCAAGGAAATTGCGGTAGGGGTATTCTTAGACATTGAGGGAGCATTTAACAATGTCACCCCTCAATCGCTCCTAGGCGCTGTAAAAGCCCGAGGAGTCGAAGCAACCATAACTGAATGGATTGAGCAAATGCTCAAAAATCGAATAGTAACGATCTCGCTC